TCTCAACACCATACTTATTGATGCCATGTTAATGGTTTGGACAAACATCATTTGATTTTATTCATACATGATATATAGAGAAACACTAAAAATTTAAATTGTGGCATAGGAGCTTGATATAGACAATCTCAGAGTTTAGGACAGTGAAGATTAATTTTATGTAAAAGGATACCTTTGAGATTGGACTTAAAGAAGTGGAGTTAAGATGATATTTATAATCTTCTATTATATATATATATATATATATTTATATATATTTACAGACAGCAGTGTGAAATAAGTCTTTATAAACTATCTTTAATATGTTTCAAATCAATCAGCTATTAATCTGATTAATATTGTTCCCATGTTTTTTTACTTTTAAACAGTTGACCTACCAGGAGAATTTGGGGATGTAACGTTTCATAAGCTAGAAGCAACTGCTAAATGGAGTACATCATAACTAATGATATTCTAAAACTTTTATAAATATAATTTGTTTACATTCTGAAAAATACTATAATATACTATTTTTTTTTCAAATTTTACTTCAGGAAATTGGAGACTTTATTTCTGCCGCTTACTTATCTTGCCTACTCCCTACACACACACATCTCACAAATCCATACACCAAACATTTCCACTCAAGTATTTATTTTTACATGTCTTGGAAAAAGTTGAATGTTTAATATATTAGTCAATATATATACATGTACAGAGTCATTCCACAGTTTGATTACTCAGTCTAACTTGAATCAGATTCCTATTTTGTTGCTATTACTCATGTTTCATAATGTCTTATTTAATATGTAAGCCAGTTATAACTTCTAATACAGAAGAGCTTGATAACATGCTGCAAATCCTTTCTACTCTGATGATTTCATGGTTACATTGATATTTCAAAATCAACTTACTATAGCTGTTTTTCTTCATAAAGATTAAAAGTCCTATGAGATTAGTACCTCTTAGTGCCATCATTATATTTTAACAACCTAGAAAGACCAAATGTATAATCTGTGCTCAAGTGTCAATAATGATAGTCACATCAGTACATAATTATTAAATCATGATAATTAATATTTTTTCAGGAACTAGTATGAGGATATTAAAAAAAATCAAAATTTTATGAAGACTCTCTAACATAATATTAGGAAATTTTACTATGCTACTTGTTAAATATATTTTACTTCCTCACTAGGGTGATATTACTATTCTCACTCAGTCACATGTGTCTATTCAAATTACAGAGAAGCTACAAAGCAATTGTGATGTCTTTGTAATCCTCCTAAGTAAGAACAAAAGGTTTCCATTTTTACAAAAAACAGAGTTAATAAACTTCTGACATTTGAATTCAAAAGTGACTAACCAAACTTCAGATTGCATTGTTGTAAAAATAAAAGCTTTCTCTTAATTTCCACTATCCTCTCTCCTCTGACTACCCTTTCCTGTATTGCAGATGGCCAGGGTGATAAATGGTAATATTCTACTGAGCTCCTCACACACACACACAAATACTAATTCATGTTCTTGTTACTTCAGTCCTCTTGAGTATAAAAACAATCACTCACCCCAAATTTGTGCTCCAATCATAAATAGTATGTATATATAAAAGTTTTCATCAGAAACTCATACCCATATATGTAAAAACAACTCAGGTTGAAAAATTGGGTTTTTATAGTAGTGGCCTACTTTATCTTATTTAGACATGTGTCTAAATATCAGTACATGTGTGTATATTTATTTTATAGTATTCTATGCAACCCTGCTTTTGTGTATTTGTCCATGTTATTTTTTTATTAAATTTTACTGGGTTTTCTGCTCACAAATACAGTCCCCTCAGCAGTCCTTGAAAATACCAGAAATTTAAAGTTAAAGAAAACTAAGTGGCGATTTAATGTAGCCTCAAAAAATATTTGAGGTTTGGAAAGTTTAATTGACTATTAAATTCTGTACAATTATTTGGTGACACAATCAAACTTGTAAGTTGCATGATTGCATGTATGCACATATATATTTTATTAAATTTCATTACTACTATTTTATTCTAAAACTAGTCACTCTGAATGCAGGAATAAAACCTTGATTTTATATCCAAGAACTTTATGTCCTTTTGACTTTATACAATTTTAATATTTCTGATCATTTTCTGTGATCCTTTCTTTTGTAAAATGATGAAAATCTCTTCTCATTGAAAGCTACCTTTTCTTACTTTCCCAATTACAGCATAAGGGAAATACTGCAGCCATTATTTCACAATGTCACCAATACAGTGGAACCTAGAAGCCACTGAATTTATCCAGGAAATCAGACTGATTTTGTCAGAAAGATATATTAAATCTTCATCAGTTCTCACAGATTTCACCAAGTTCAGGGGCAAGGGCCACACTAATCTCTGCATACGCAAACGCTAATGATTTTAAAACCCAGAAGAACAAGTTAGGCAATAGTTTATAGAAATTTAATAAGTTAACTTAGTTAGATGGTAAACGTCCATTTTCATAGTGGTCAAAATATATGGTGTAGGTCATATTTATGAAAAGGCCCTATAGCAAAACAGGGAAAGAAAGTTTATAAGGAAAAAAAAATCAGTGTAGGTGTTCTATGTTACCAAAAATTATCTTTAATATATATTGACCTCAATGGATAATATAAAAATAGCAGATGAATGGGTTTGATTATTCTCATTTGTCAAAAATTCCGGTTACATAATGGTTTTCCATTTCTGTTAATACTCTGGTTGTCAAGGATAAAAAGGTACAAAAAACTGGGTGAAAAAATGGGAAACACTTTCCAGAGACAGTGATAAAATGTTTTATGAGAACCAATTAAATTAAATTATGCACATACTTTTAGTAACTATTTTTGACAAATTACAAAACTAATTAACAAATAAGCAAAATAGTGCAAAAACAAAGCACAACACAGAGTTTGAAATGTCACTATAGCAATGGTGGCCCATTAATCAAGGCATGCTCAATTTTTTTAAAGGAAATACTTAAGTGTTTGTGGTAAAAACCTAGATTAGGTTGATCATGAGTGTTCTTTTATCAGTGACCATTCTTTTGTATCTGTGAAACTCCAAGAATGAATCCCTATATATAAGTTCAGTTGAACAAACTGTGGTCTCTATATACTGCCTTAGAAATAAGAATCATAAGGCAATTTGAAGTTCTTAGACAGAACCATTTGTCAGTTGAACTTGAACTATCCTGATGTTAGTTACTAGCTGTAGTGCTGAAAATGATGTTAAATGAGGGATGCTGGAGGATGCCATATGACTAACTGGAGGAAAAATAAGAGGGAAAAAGAATAAGTAAGTGTACTGTGTGACCTATGGAGCTAGAGGAGAGAGGGATGAAAAAAAGGAAATAACAGATTTCCAATAAAGAAAGCTGAATTTGGGCCCTCCCTGGTGGCACAGTGAGTTTAAACACAGCACTAGGAAGCTAAAGCCACTTCAGTATGGTTCAATCCCTGCCCCGGAGGTGACCCACATGGTGGGACAGATCTCTCCTGACCCGCCCACTGCTCCCCTCAGCAGTGTACTTCGTCAGTCGGCCTGTTCTGCTCCCCACTCTGTCTCTGGTGAATCCTCTCACCACCCCTGCACCTCTGGCCTGTATCCCAGTTCTACATGCATAAATAAATAAACCTTAAAAAAAAAAAAGCTGAATTTGTACACACACACACACACACAAAAGAATTACAGAAACATTTTGTCACTTTCACAAACAAATGAATATCAGGTTTGAAAATAATAGGCATGACGTCTGTGATACCAAGTATGTTTTATGTTTTCAAGTTTGACTTAGCTTATCTCATTTTCTTGATGTGGCCAGTAAGACAAACAATACTCATGTTATCACAGTTTATTTCTCATATCATGTGCCAAGAATCTAGAAAAATAAATACATTGTCAATATCCATGTTAATATTCATAGGTTTTGTGTCAGTCTCAGAATTTGAAAATAACCCAGCATTCGGCATAAATTAGGATAATCCACAGTGAATAAAGGAATTGCCCTGTGTAGAATATAAGAACAGGGATTAAATGAGGAAGATGAATAAATAGAAATGATTGCTATTGAAAATATTATGCCAGGATACTCCCTGGTGTCACAACGGGTAAGGACCCAGCACTGCAAGCTGGCTGTGGTCACTTCTATGCGAGTTCAATTCCGGCCCCCGAGGTGATCACATGACGCGGCAGACCTCTCCTGACCTGCCGACTGAACCCCACTCTGTCTCTGACTGCCTCTAAATCTTCTCACTGTCTCTGTACCTCTGGCCTATATCTAGTTCTGTGTGTATAAATAAATAAGTCTTAAAAAATTATTATGCCAACTATTTTTGAGACACAGAAGAATAAAACTAGAATGAATGGTTTCCACAAAATCGTATGCACAAATGACAACAAATTGTCATTTTTCATAACTACTAATGAGCCACTGTTAGTGCTGCTAAATCTTCCTAAACAAATAACTTGTTTCTTTTTCCTTTACTTCCTCCTTCTGCTTTGAAACCTTTCTTCTGGATGATGGGGGAGAAATTATCTGATAGTCAGGAACAGACACCTCTAGAATTATTTGGATTTTGTCTTATATAGAACATACTATCTTAATTAATATTACTTACTCCTGATAAACAACAATACATGTCATTTTTAATGCATTACAACTATATTATATCATATACCAAAGATAATTTCCCATAACTTTAAATTAAATTTCAATGAATTATTTTTTTCCTTGCAATATAATCACATAAAATGAAATCATATCCAGCTGGTTAAGAATGGAAAGAGTTTTCACATGACTTAAATTATTTTAAGATTTACTATGGATCCTGCTCTCCATTTAGCTCTCTGAATAAATCTTATCCCCCACCCAAATTCTATTTGCAATATCCCTCATTTTGCTCATTATAATATGAAAACATAAATAAGCACCTGTGGCAGGGAAAGTTGTAAACATACATTTCTTCACTTTCAGCTTCAGGATATATTATATAAACATTCTTACCTTGCCCACGTATTGTGTGTCTGTACCTGTGTACTCTTCCAACAAAAAGAATTGATTCCACATCCAGCCACGCTTGGTGCGATGTAGTACTTTACCATCATCTTTTGTCACACTCACTATTCTTTTGCTTGGCAAATAACCATTAGCTTTTTCTTGAGAAAGGATAGCATCAAATGTACAGAACATACAGGTCCAGATGAATAATGGTAGACAATGGTAAGTCCTCATTTTCTATTGCTTCAGCAAAATCCCAGCTTCAATGTACTGTCTGTTTCCCCTGAGGAGTGAGGGAGAAAGTGATTTGTTAGGTTAAGATTCACTTTCACATTTGCTATCAACTCTACAAATTTAATTTTTAATACATGTGATTTAAATTGTATAGGTGATATGCTACATTTAAATTTCTTTTGTAACATTAGTGGGCTATCATTAAAAACTCATATACCAGGTAAGCAGGACAATATAGATAGCACAAATAAACAGACATAGTATTAATAATTACCTTTGATACTATCACCAGTCATATAAATGTAAATATAACTGTTTTGAATACTATTGAAATAAAACTAAGCTATAAAATATACCAAAAAGCACATTAAGCATTCTCAAAGTCCATACAGCTAATAAAGTAGGATGTATGTAAGTGCTACATATATGTGACCCTATATATTTTAAAGAAACTATTTTCTGCTCACAATCTACCAAGTTGTTCTCTTGTCATTCTTTTCTGCAATATATTAAGATGCCATTTCAAAACGAACTAAATATTACACTTTGGGTGGTGTTTTTCAATACCTAATACCGCCACATACTGATCTTTTCTAGTCAGTGAATATTTTTTCCAAAAATCAGTTAAGCAATATATTTTTTAAAGATTTATTTATTTATGCTTACAGAACTGGGGTACAGGCTATAAGTGTGGTGGGTGAGAGGAATCACCAGAGACAGAGTGGGGAGCAGAACAGGTAGATGTACTGAAATACACTGCTGAGGGGAGCAGCAGGTGGATTCGGAGAAGTCTGCCGCACCATGTGGGCCAGCTCCCTGGTTGGGGATAAAACTCAGACTATAGTGGTAATAGAGCTGAGACTTAACCTCTAGGCCACTGAAGATTTCATCTGTCCCAGTTTTAAACTGTAATTTTCATAAAATACTTGTACAGAGTTAGCTTAGTGTTAGCACACAAATTTACAACATGTCAGTGCTTCCAGAGCCATCATCTTCATCATCTATCATTGTTACTCTCACATTAGCCATGCACACCTACATGCATGTGTTGAACACAGCAATGTGCAGATCCTAATATAGAGACATGTATGGTTTGGAGCTACTGGCTCTGTCTAGAATATAGGTACCCTAATTTCCATGGCTTGTTTTAAAAATATGTGTATCATTTTGGGGCCTCCCTGGTGGCACAAGGGGTTAAGTCTCATCACTATGAAGCTATCTGCAGCCAGGGCAGCATGAGTTCAATCCCCAACCAGGGGGCTACCCACATGGTGCAGCAGACTTCTCCTGTCTTGCCAGCGTCTCCCCTCAGCAATGTATTTCAATAAATCTACCTGTTCTGCTCCCAACTCTGTCTCTGGTGAATTCCCCTCACCCTCTTACTCCCACCCCCCCACCTTTGGGCTGTGTCATGAGCTCTTGTATGCATAAATAATTAAATGGTTGAAAAAATATTGTATTACTTAACAAAATATACATTTATGATCACACATCTACACATTCCAGAATGAGAGGTCAAAATTATTTGTTGATTCTGAAATCTTGAGTGATGATAATTATCCATCATCAGGTTTTTATATGGTTATTCATAGTCCTATAAACTATGGAAAATTGTGATATTTAACTGTGAAGTACCAGAAAACTATGATATCAAATGGTTCTTCGAAAAGAGTAAAACAGAAATATACCATCAGTGGACACTGACTCAGAACGAGGTCCACATTTTGTTGATCAGTGGTGATGCATGGGACATTTGCAGTCAGAGAATATCAAGCACAGATGATACCTCACTCTGGTAAAATGAGCAGATCCTTGTTCTGGTTACCCTGTTTTAGCTATGTCTTTGGGCCTTTGCCATTGATGATTACCCTTACGAGGTCACACCTCACATCCTGTGACATGTTGTAATGTTGACACCCATTTAGGTGGCCTACAGAAAACTCACTTGTGTTAGACAAAGACTGAAACAGAAACAAGATCACATAGGCCTTTATAAGCTAGATAAGGAAAATATACATTCATTCCAATACAGTAGAAAGCAGTTGGAAGGTTTTAACATGACATGTCTAAAGCATTGTGCATCACATTATTGAGAAAGTATAAATTAGAGAAGGAAAGGGGTTTGGTAGAGTGAGATCAATTTTTTTTTCGGTTGCTCCACTACAGAAAAATGATGGTGATATCTTCTAGAGAAGTGGCTTAAAGAAGACACTGATATTTTGCTTAGATTTCTTTTGATACTTTACTATGGTCACAACACACACACATACACAACACAAGCATGATGGTTTTGTATTATATTACTTCTAATGGGTTGCACCTGCCACTTTCTCTAGAAGATTCTCTTTGCTACTGGTCATATTGCCCCCAACAACAGGGAGTCTAGCTTTCCTGCCAGTTAACAGTGATCTCCTGTGGAATCCCTGAGTGGCTATGTAACAGGTGCAAGCATATGAAAACCCACTTATTATTCACATTTCCAAGCTCTTCTATAGAATCACACTGAGGCTAGAACTTGCACGGATATCATGTCCTTGTTTGGATTTATCTTCCAATCTATTTTCCCACAGTCTCCTTTACTTTTCTAACCTAACATTTGCATACAAATCCCTACCACAGGGATTTGAGACCTCAAGAGGGTACCAAATCTAATAAAAAGGGGAACTGAACGTAGTAATAAAATTGACATATTCGGATAATCAGAGGAGTAGATTCTACCTTCTCAATGTGTTGATGGTGAAATGTGAAGAATAAATAAAATATAACTCTTAGATTATTTATGAACTGGGTAGATAACTGAGGCATTTGTAGAGTGAGGTTTATGTCAGGGATAAGTGATCTATTAGGAAAATAAGGAATCAAATGATTATTTTTGTATTACAGTCAAAAAAAATAATTCAGTTGTCACTATTGTCGCTAACGACATTTCTCATAACAAATAAGACAAGTGACTACTCCTAATCTTACATAATTTAACTAGTATAGCTACTAAATACCTTCTAACAAAGATTCTTCAATAGTCCCCCATGTTGTCTATTACGGGAAAGCTGAGGTAAATGACTGCTCAAGTTTTTATACAAGTGAGACTGGAAAGTGAGACTTAAGTCCCATCACTCCCTTGTACTTTACTTCTACTGCTCCCCAAATAACGTGCTGACATTGGTGATGCTATCAAGTGACATTTATTCTTTTCCCCTGAGTTCTAGTTACAAAGCTTAGTCTTTTTTTCAAACACTAGATGTTAAGTCTCCTTATAGTGATATTACTGGAAAAGTGTGACCACATAAGAAGCAGGGGCAAGCTAAAACTTTGTTTGTTGCAGGAACTTGCAAATATCATAGGTGGGTGTAATATTATTGTGGTAGGTAGCCCAGAAGGGTACATCCATGTTTTAAGGGTTTACACAATTCAAGGTCATTGCCTTTTCTCACACAAGCCTGGGGCCATCTTACCTAGTACATCCACAACCATCTCTGTGTTTTCAATTTCTCTGTCATATTGCGTTTCCTTAAGAAGTCATCATAGAAAATTCCAAAAATTTAGCCAACTGTAAACTCTATTGTTTTCTTTCATATCATCCATGTATTTTCTTCCTATGGTTAACCACACTTTATCTCTTTCACTTAGTGGGTTATATGTTTATTGACTATTTCCTGTAATTTTAACATATTTTATACCATAGTAAGATATTTTAAGTCACTTTATACTTTGTTTTTTACAGTGAACAAATGGCTATTGACATGCAGTAGTTGTTTAATGTGTATTTGTGAAATTAATTGGCTCATTGGTTCATGATAAAAATGGATGATCTCTACCTTGGGTTTGGGAATCCATATAAAATTGATGTATATTCTATTGCATAAGCATGCTAAGATATATATAGAAAGAGCTGAATAGAGAGGAAATGTGTCCTTTGAGATAATTTTGTCCTTTCTAACAAATATAATACATTCTACAGTGAAATACAAGTAAGAGTTATAAGAACCTACATAATATGGATTTAATGTGAACTTCACAATTTATATGTTTGAACTTTGAAGTTCTTTTATAAAATTTTCTTTTTATACCCTTCATAATTCTTGGTGTAATTCTGTAACACTTAGACAACAGTGCACCCTGCCTGTGGCAAATTTAACATCTGGATGTGATTCTACTCTTAGTCAAAATGCACATTAAAAAATGCACATTGTATTTAGTTTTAAAGCTAGCAAGCTCCTATCTCATGGGAGTTATTAAAAATTCTTCATATCCTTTATTCATTCAATAGCAACAAGCTGATTGCTAAATTTTCTATGCTCAATTATCTCTATCAGCCTAAATGCTCTGCATTTTAATCACATATTTTGTTGCTAAATAAATACCATTGGATGCATTATAAAGTACAATATTTTAAATTTGGTTAAAGTTTGATTTTGTAATCAGGGAATTCACTTGAATCTTGTTCACTTTAAAAACTGAAAATTGTTTTATTATTATTCCCTTGTTCCCCTAATTATATTTCAATTACATTTGAGGCAAAAAAAAAAAAAAAATAGCTGTTGGCTATTTGTGACTCAAGAAAAAAAAAGTGCATTATTTTAATTAAGCAGGATGTTCAGCACATCAAATCCACATCCCAAATTAAATTATATCATTGTGTCTTATCCTTGAAGCTTAAACTCTTATAAAGTATTTTAATGATTCCAATCTTGCTTTCCAATCCAACTTTCTCAGATAAAATATACAAATAACAGTAAGATATATGATCCATTTTACTATCTTATCATTAACCACATCATAATCATTAAAATATGTCCATATATATTAACCTATTTATCTTTAAAAACTGTAAGCTATGGTCATTTAGTGCTAGTTCTTTCCATATGAGATGCATGTGGTTGGAAAGACAAAGAAAACCATTTCTAATTATCTAGCTATTTTGTGGTTTTGGCAAATGTTAAATTATGTTGTTTGATTCCTTTGCCAGAGATGGTTCCAATTGTTTTACATACCAGTTAGAGAGAAATGTCTGACTGTTCAATTAAATAAATTACACATATAGTAAGAACA